TGTTCTTGTCTTCGTGGTTTTCGAGAGCGTTTTTGTCAAATTGTTGGTAAGTGGTCAAGTAGTAAGTCAGGTTCTGCTATAGAACACTTCAACCATCACTTTATCGCATTGATGTAGAGATATGTCGGCTGGTAAGCTGCKGGTGTGTTACACATGACGGACAGGTAAAAATGTAGGGGTCAATCAAATAGTGACTACTTGGAGCTCTGCAAGTGGAGGTTGGTCAAATGGTAAAAGAACATAATTATCATATGCATCGCAAAAAAAAAAAACAGAAACGCAGCAGGTCCACTTCATATGGAAGATTTCTTGACTTGTCCGATGAATTACATCAGCTTACATCGCTGAAAATTCCAAATGCCAATTGACAATTTAGCAAAATCATTTACTGCTAGATGCACTGTAATTGTGCATCTCATCAGCTTATATTTCATTTTAGATATTGAAGCCGACAAGTTTAATGTAAATTTGGTTGTCCTTTCCGTTCCATGGAAAGAAGATCTGAAAGATTCGTCTTCTGACGCCTTCATATCACTGGAGAAAGACATCTGCAGTGAGGTTGTCAATTGAATCAATCCATTTCTTTCTTTTTCATCACTACTTTGGCACACATGATGGCTAAACACTCGTGACTCAGTCTCTCGTGAGCTATCCATGACCAAATTTCTCCAAGGTTCTTGTTTATCTTTCTCTTCTGTAAACTTTTATACCATCGAACATCTACTTTTTATACTGAAATGGGACGGCGTCTAAATCACTTGCTTGCTTTTCGTATTCCTCTGATATGAAACTGCCCCCCCCCCCCCCCCCCCCCAAAAAAAAAAAAAAAAAACAAAAAAAACAAAACAAAGAGCGTATAAATTTATATCAAATTTACATCATTGTAGACACTTTTACAACATTTAAAGTGCGAGATATTTCCAGTGTGCATTTATCTGTTAACATACCAGTGAGTCACTAAAATTTCCTTGTCCTACTGTCAGTTGTCTTTGCGGTTTCACAAGWATTCGAAGCAAAAATATGCATTTTTGCGTAAGATCAGTTATTCCTCTCGACTCTTTTGTATTCTTCTTTTACTGTTTATATATACCTTCATCTCTGAATATTACCTCTCACTTTTGTTACCTTAGATGCGAAATACATTTGGTCGAAAAATGTTGTTATGCAAACTACTYCAAGCAAGGTACAAACAACCTTCTTTAAAGAATATACATTCCTATCTCTCATTTACCTGACTTCAGTACACTTACCTGGGAGTTGAAATGTAAATTAAATTCCTTTATTTTGTCATTCAGCAATAATGCTTCAAGCATTTCCATGAAATATATCGGTGAAACATTGCTTAGTACTTTTATTTCATTCCATTGAAACTTATTAGATAACTGAAAAATCAATTTTCCTTGGTTTCTTTTTTCTTAAAAGATAAAGAATTTGTTATCTGTTTTTTTTAATTAGCAAAGGTAGTGTTGTCACAACCACCGAACTTGTCTTTAATGGCACAAAGATGGAGAGCGAAGTAATAGAAACGTTAGCTAACGCAACAGTTAATGGGACTCTGGGAGCATTGAAACTGAAATCTTCTGCCGGATTCAATGCATCTGCACAAATAGGTAAGATTGGCTGTTAAATTAAGGTTCTAAAGAAGATAGTGAACGTGGAAAATATCTCTTGTTCATTTGTTGTTTTCTTTTTCAAAAAAAAAAAACAATACTCTTTTTTTTTTCTTTGTAGTTTTCGGTTGCACCGGATACTTTCATTCTGGACAATGCAAACATAAGGAGATATTTTCGTATAGATTGACAATTCCTTTACAAAAATGGAGGACATTTCTTTCCAGATACCTTTTGGTACTGATTTCCAAGGTCTTTTTACGGGTTGTCGGTCATATTCACCAGTAACAATATTCCATTCATAAAGTCATTCTATCTATAGGTGTGGACGATGTTTGTGCAAGTAAGCCATGCAACTTCGCCGGCAAGTGTATTGCAAAGGGCACGGGATATAAATGTGATTGCAAGCTGTTTAGATTTGGGGACCATTGCCAAGATGGTAATTATATTTCATTTTGATATTATAAAGCATTAATTAGTTCGGAACAACAGTAATTTCAATTAATACTACAGGGGAAATACAATAAAGACCAAAATGATACTGTTCGACAAGTTTGTAACACAAGCACGGCACGTTTAGTCCCAGAACTAAAACATCTGCAGTCAATKTTCTTTGGTAAACAAATCATCCGCGGAATAGCCCTAATTTCAATTAATACAACAAGGGAAATGCACTAAAGACCGAAGTAATACTATTCGACAAGTTTGTATAGTTAGAAGATACGGCAATTTGAGATTTTTCGACTGGGTGACTAAAATCCGAGAACTAAATGTCAGGCAGTCGACTTTTTTGTGAAAAGTCGTCGAAACAACTTTAATTTCAATTAATAGCACCAGAGAAATGGAATGAAGACCGAAATAAGGGTCTTGTCAAAACTTAGCAAGGGGAGGGGAGGTGGAAATTGAAAAGTCGTTGGCTCCAATGTTTCTCTTGGGTTGCMTCCATTTTGTTCTCTGTTGAAGCAGGTGCAGGTACTATTTGGTCCATCTTTTCCAGAATAGGTCAGTAAGGTATAGAACTTGTTTCCGTCGTYTTCTTACGTACAAGTCGTTACGGTCAAATATCCCAGGAGGGAGTGAAGGCTCTCTATTCAGAAGCAACAGGTGATTGGGTGTCAGYDGTTCGTYGTCATTASGGTCTTCTGATGGTTGGGTCAGAGGGCGTCCATTAATGATAGACTCTATTTCTGTCATGAGTGTTATGAACGATTCGTCGTCCAGGTGTTGTTCACTGGATATTGCGTTCAAAACCTTGCGTATGATACGTATGCACCTCTCCCAAGTATCACCGAAGTGCGACGCTGTAGGTGGGCTGAAATACCATTCGATTTCCTTCTGCAACAGTAACTGATGAATTTTCTCGTTGTTCCAGGGCTTGGTGGATACTCTGAGCTCTTTTTCACCAACAGCGAGATTTGTTTTCACTTGACCTCTTCTTGCTATAAATCTTCTCAGTGCCAGAATGAATGTGTCGGTCTCGAGGGATGACGCAACTTCAATTTGCATAGCACGAACGRCGAGGCAGGTGAAGATGACACCATATCTTTTAACTAATGATCGATCTCTTGAGCTTCACCAGAATAGGTCCAAAGTAGTCTATGGCAGTATTCGTGAAGGGAGGCTTGTCAAGAGTAATTCTTGCTGCTGGAAGATCAGCCATTTTCTGTGAGTTGGGTTTCTCTTGTCTCTTTTTGCAATCATAGCACGACGAGAGCAATCTCCTTGTTAASGCATTGGCATGAACAATCCAGAAGCGTTGGCGGATCGCTGTTAACACATATTCCCTACCAGAGTGGCCAGACACCAAGTGCGCTTCTTTAATGATCAACGTGGCAATCCAGCTATTCTTTGGAACAATGACTTGATGCTTTGAATTTTAGGGCAACGACGTCTTCCTTAGACGTCCACCAACACGGATCAGGCCATCCTTTCGAATCTGATCCAGCTTGAGAATCTGACTTGTCTTTCTGGTACTTGTGCCTTTAGCAAGATCTGCAGCTTCTTTGGGAAAGGCTTGCCCTTGAATATAACGAAGTATCTCGTTTTCTGCATGGGGAAGTTCGCTGACTGTTATAAGCTCGTCCCTTTGTCTTGCCTTCTGAACTTRTGACCCCTTTCTTGAGCGAAATCTTTGCTGAAGTCGYAGACATATTGCGATKAATTTCTTTAGACGAAAAAAGGATGRGAATCTTTTGAAGATCGCTTCTAAAGGGTCTTCTTCCTTTATAATTGTACTGAAGGAGCATTTCTCTTTCTTGACTTCAGGATCTTGATCAAGTGTTGCATAGACATCACTTGGGTGTGGAAGTATCTCGATATTCCTGTGCTTTAAGAATTCCGGCCCCGTTTTCCAGTCTTCACTTGAATGGAAGTCAKTAATGGCCATTCCTCTTGTACAAGATTCGGCGGGATTGGATTTGGTATCAATGTAGTTCCACTGGTCTACTGTCGAACCACTCTTGATGTAAGTAACCCGATTAGCGACATACGTGTGGAACTTGCGTGATTCATTCATGATGTACTTTAGTATTGTAGTGATATCAGTCCTAAAGTTTGAAGTATGTATAGTTACTTCCAGTTCTGTTCGAAGCGTCTTGTCCAACTTCACTGATAGGGCTGCAGCAGCGAGTTCCAATCTCGGTATGGACTGTGTTTTCAATGTTGCAAGACGTGATTTTGCCATGACGAGGGAACTGTATGCATTCTCGACAATGTTTCCATTGGTGTTGACGGTACGCAGGTAAGACACTGCTCCGTACGCTTTCTGTGAAGCGTCTGCAAAGTGGTGAAGTTCCCGCGTTGTATGACCTCGCTGTTGTTTGCAGGGTCCAAAGCAACGAGCCAAGGAGAAATTACCTGGTTTATGTAGATCCTGCAGCCATTTCTGCCATGGTGACAAGTATTTATCAGGAATTCTTACATCMCACTGTAACTTCAGTCGAGTGAGGTCTTGCAGGATTATCTTGGCGGTCAGCGTAAAGGGTACTGCCATACCCAAGGGATCAAATACAGAACTAACCACGGATAAAAGAACACGTCTTGTCAAAGGGCGTTCGTGAAGCGTTGTTTTGAAACCAAAAGTATCTGTTTCAACTAGCCATGTGACACCAAGGGCTCTTCCAGCTGCCAATTCTTCATGGGCGATGTCTATGTCTTTAATTCTTTCGCTTGTTCCCTTCAGGAATCGATTGCAGTACTTGGCGACTACTTGAGATCCATTTGGTTAACCTGAATCCACATTCTTTCATAAGTCTGCATATATCTTCAACAAACTGAATGGCCTTCTCAGCAGAGGGTAAAAACWTTAGACAATCGTCTACATTGAAGTTCTTGAAAACAGTTGAAATGACCACCAMTAGTGTTGTATCAGATTTTCAACACGGTCGTCACCATTGAGACAACCTAACACTAGCAAAGGTCTCAATTTTAGTATCGCATCATAGACCTTTACTAGGTTTTGAAGCAATCAAAGACGGATAACAGAACTCGGTTATGCAACAGATGGCTTGCTTTCCATGTGGGATGGATAATYATTCTAAATGTTCTGTGTTGCAGTAAATTGCGCATGCTTAATAGCGACTAAACTCAGCAGTTTCCTTAATTGTCATTTTTCGTMATTTATCTCACTGTAATTCATGTTGATTTGTGTTGGAGTTTTATAAGTCGTTTACAGCATTCGCGGCTCGAGATTGTAATTTCCCTTACAACACGGCCGCTCATGTTGTAAACTATACTAAAGATACATTAAATTTCGCTGTAACTTGCTGTGTGGATTATTAATCTCTGGAGCGATTTTGAGAACTTTTATGAATTATTTTCCCCTCTTACTATAATCTGTGACAGGGTAGGAATCGAAGCCCTCCATATCGATTTCGAASAGCTCCAGATTCGGTCGATTTTTTCGTCGAAATTTTGCCACTGTGTCTGAGAAACGATGACCTCCCTGTACAGTGGATGTTTTTGCATTTTAACGCACATCGCGTTAGGAGTCGAATTTCGACGAAAAAATCGACCGAATTTAGAGCTGTTCGAAGTCGATATGGAGGGCTTCGATTCCTACCCTGTCACAGATTATAGTAAGAGGGGAAAATAATTCTTAAAAGTTCTGAAAATCGCTCCAGATATTACCAGTAACTATGATAATCCACACAGTAAGTTACAGCGGAATTTAAAGTATCTTTATGCTATAAATCGACTGTTTACATAGTCTCATATACATTCTCTCTTATATTAAGTAAAGAGCTTGGGTCACCCGTGATATCCGCACCTTCTTTCGACTTGCACGCGATTGTTAGGTAAAGYGACAGATTGGTCCTTGAGAGGTAGGCTAACTTCGTAGTGCTGGTCTTCAAGATRGTTGATGAACTTGGCTTCTTCCTTTGTATACTCCTTGRAGATGCTATAAGTATCACTCTCTAGGACGTCTGCACATTCCAAACACTGCATGGAAGCTTGAAAGCTATTCGGACATGATGTACCCTTCGCACTTCTTCTGGTTGGACCATTGATGACCCATCCGAGCTTTACCCTTGTAGCGTAAAGGCCTTGTGTGGTTGTGGGTATAAGTTCTATTGGTCTTAGGGCTTCTKGCACGTAAGTATTATGAAAGATAGACGCAGCTTTTCTGAAAACCGGTGTGGACAGGACCACGGGGAGACTGCTGATTGAAGTGTTGTCATCCATGTCGCTAACTATCAGTCCATTGATCACTTGACTTTTGAAGTCAGAACTCTCTCCAATGGTGGTTAGCTTGACCTTGATCTTCTTACTTTGCACTCCGAGACGTTGATCAATGATTCAGAACAGAAACTTGCATTGGAACCAGTGTTCAGTAAGGCATATGTCTGTATGCAGGCATCATTGTCTCTCTTCCTTATGTTGACTGGCAGTRTGGSGAGAATAGCTGTCGCTTTTCTTGTAACGTCAGRCAATTTCGTGACGGAACATGCAAACGAATGTTGTTGCTTGGTAGCATTCATAGGTAGAGATTGGCTGCTGGTACTTGATGATTTAGTGAATGGAAAACTTGCAGTTGGGTTAGTKCTTGAGGAACTTGCAGTCGGACTAGTGACAGATGAACTTGCAGTCGAAACAGYACGGTCGGAAACGTCTGAGTGAAGCAGTGTGTTATGTTGATCCATTATGGTATTAGGATGAGTATGAGAGAAAAAATCAGGTGGCATGAGGCGTTCTTCGCGGGAATTTGAGCTTTCTGACTCTTCTTTGACTTAAACAGTCTTTGGCTCTTCTTTGACGTTAGGTTGATCGCGCTGTCCTCCAAACTTCGGGCTTTTTAGCTCTTCTTTATCCTTTGATATGTTACGCTGTCCTCTGACGTTCAGGCTCCTTTTTCCTTCTTTAGCTTTTGCGCCCTTTCGCCGCTATTCCTCTTTTTTAGCTTTTAGACTCCTTAGTTCCTCTTCCACCTCTAAGCTATCTTTTTCGAAGTCCAGTTTCATTTATTCTTCTTTAAGGCGAGCTTACTTCTCCTGTAGCTCTTTACGACGCTGAATAGATTCCTGTCTGGCCTCCAGTTCAGCAATCCTAGATTTTGTGGTCGATTTCAAAGTCAAACTCGACGAAAAGCTTGAAATAGATTGAGTAGGTTGTTTGTCGTCCGGCTCAGGCGTATTTTGTAGCTGCTTTTCCATGGACGAAGCCCACTAGGACACCTTTTGACAGAATTTTAAGTAGTTCTTTTTCACTTGTACGAAGTACATGAACGATTCTGTCCTTGCTTGTCCATCCTGTAATACGTTGTCGTACGCATCATTCGCCTCGCAGAATTTATCAAATATCGTACAGTATTCTCCCATCTTAGAATCTATACTAGATCCAGGTTTTCCAAGTCATCGCGGTTAAGCAGAATTGGTTCAATTTGGTTCTTTTTACGTGTTAGCGAAGCAAGAGCTCTACATCTCTTCTTCTTCAGGTGTTTGATGATCTCCAGGGCTCCAACATAGTTCGGCGGCACTTCACTTGCAACAGAGCGCATAGAAAACCTTGGTATTTCACGGCGTTGAGKCCATGAACGCCTATCATCTTCTTGGACAGTTTGTTTGAACAATGAGGTCGCCATACCAATGAACTTTACGGATCAAGTATTCTACGTACAAATTTACAAAGACAATTAACTATACTATATAACATGGAAAACGATATTAAAGACAAGGAAAACATGAAAATACTTACAAACAAACAAAGCGAAAACCAAACAAAAAACCCGCTGTTGGCGCTATGGCGCTAACACTGTGGGATATACGAACGTACAGTATTTTGCGCACATGTCTTTTGCAAGCAACAAGTTTTACTAATTTCTATTGCTCTTTTACTGCAGTTTGTTTATCCATCTTATTAGATGCATTTTCCAAGTCATCCTCSGCTATAGTTCTTTTTGATGATCCAATGCGTGAAAACAAGCATGACTTCAATGCAATAGCACAATTACCGCCGTTAGAGTTTCGTTGAAATTTTAGGCTTGAATTAACGTGAACAAATTGTAACTACATGCACTTATCAATTTTTTTCAGGTATTAGTCTCGCTGCTGGCATTATTGCCATCGTATTTGGTTGTATTGCCGTTGCAATCATAATCTTTGCAATAGTTCGTTGCTGTTGCTGGGTGAGCAAGAAAGACTCGTACAGAGCAGGTAGTTTAAGCACGCATTTTACTCTCTTTAAAATGACTAAGGAAATGCTTGATTTCTTCCACATAATGTGTAAAGTGTGGAAAATCTAGACTTATTGTATTCATATTTGTCATTGATTGGGTAAAACTTATGCCACAACCTATAATATAGATAATATTAAGTTCCTGTTGTGAGATCTGGATCACTGATTACCTCAGTATAAGTCATTCACTAGAAACAAAATTTCAAAACATTGTCGCACAAGCTAAACAATACAAAATAAAAACGTCTTCAAGGATAAATAAAAGAAACTCTGTACAAACAGATAAACGAGAAACTATTGGCACAGGAAGATGCGTGCACGTCTGTTGCGTGTGAAAGCCACTGAGAATTTGGATKAAAATTAAAAAGAGGAAATGCCTAGCTTTCATGGTATTACCAACATACATTGATGCTCAAGGTGATCATAGCACTCATAGACGAGTGGGGATATCATAAATTACTTCAAATATCAATATTGGCTTACTATTTCTTGCTATTTTTATCAGAAACGAGAAGCAGCTATACAACGAATGTCAGTATGTAAGTATAATTTGAGTATAGATATCTCATCAACCGTAAACTCAAACCTCATAGCAAATTTAAATCCATTCTATTCGTTTATTTATCATTCATCTCTTATAATTATTTGTTACAGGGATAGTTTTCATGTCAAGAATGGAGGCCATATTGAATCCAAAGACAATCCTGGTTTTGATGATAATAATTGCAACACGAAGTCGCTTGATGAAAAGTCCACCCCAATTTAAACTACCGGTGCTTTTTCTTAAATCGTTATGTTATGTATAAAATATTGCAAGTTTACATAGTTTTCAGGTCAAAATAATTGCACTGCACAAAGTTCAGACTTGCACCAAGTAACTTGCCGTGTACTCTCGATCGGAGCAATCACAACAYTTTTTTTATTYCGAATGAGCKTTATTATCAGAACGATTTTGYAATGTTTTCTATGACTATATAGAATGCTAMTTTTTAGAYAAGCGGCAATAGGTCATGTTCGATCTTCGGACTAAATATAAGTTGGAAAGCAATTTTAATTGCTTAAAAGCTTAAGGCATCTGTTGTTATATTWACCCTATTCAGAGAATGAGCTCATGGGGAAGGGTCTCATGCATATGTGTAGGTATAATTATACTGATTTCTCAATTAAAAAACCATTTGCAATTGTCTGTATATCGATATCTTCATAACCAGTGAAATTTCGCAATTAGCTCGTTACTGCTCTTTTTTCGGGGAAAACAATGGATAATCTTGATTTATTCTTTTATTTCGCCGGAGCCTCGTCTGCAATTCTTTTGTACATGGTCATTGGACCAAAATATCTAAAGTCGGCTATTGTGATGGCATCATGTTCTGTAGTGTATTAAGTAATGGCCCGAGTAAGAAGTAGGCAAGCAAACAGCAATGGAATGCAAGAATKTGCTAATTCATTGATTAAAACATGATAATCTGACATAATTTCACAAGTTAGTGCATTTCTTAATTTTCTATTTAATATATCTGATTCCGACTTCATGAAAGCTTTAGCTTTAATWTTAATAGAGAACTCGAGTGTGACGCCACAAAGATCCTTTTTTTCGAATTTTTCGTATTCGTTG